TCGGTATAGCGAAATTTGATGCAACCGGTGTCCAAATAAACGGTACTCCCCAATATGTTCGTGCCTGTATCGAGGCTAGCTTGGAGCGCCTGGATGTGGACTATATCGATCTCTATTACCAGCACAGAGTTGACCCCTATACTCCTATAGAGGATACAGTAAGTGCTGCAGTTGAAAGCATCATAAGATTCGCTCTTCAATTCGTTCCATATTCATATAGTGGGACTTTTTGTCTTTAGATGTCTGAACTCAAGAAGTTGGTGGAAGAGGGTAAAATAAAGTACATAGGACTATCTGAAGCTAGCCCCGAGACGATAAAGAGAGCACATGCGGTTCATCCGATAACGGCTGTGCAGATGGAGTGGTCGTTGTGGACTCGTGATATCGAGGAACAAATAGTCCCCCTTTGCAGGTTTGTTTGTGTATCTCGAACCATTTAGACTTAGACAAAGCATAGTTTACTAACTTTCGATGTTCTTTTCGTTTCCTAAGTTCGATAAATGCCTATCTAAACGTGTTCATCTATGCAGGGAACTTGGAATTGGGATTGTTACATATAGCCCTATAGGTTGCGGTTTCTTTGGCGGCAGAGGAGTGGTGGAAGCATTGCCTGCAAATAGTTTTCTGGTATGGGAAGTAATGTGTGTATGTTTTTAACCTATGCAATCTTTGTTTAGTAAACTGATTGCCAACTTCTACTTTGAAGCCTATGCTCCCGAGGTTTCAAGGAGAAAACTTGGACAAAAACAAGATCTTATATGCGAAAATTGAGAAGTTGGCTGAGAAATATGGATGTACCCCTGCACAATTAGCACTTGCTTGGGTTCTTCATCAAGGGGACGATGTAGTACCGATTCCCGGTGAGTCGCTTGCGGACATTTCAACTAGAAGTCACTGCAGAAGTAGCATAATTGGCCTGAAAATCTTGTACCAAACACCTGCATATAGACTAAATTTCCCCTTGTTTGGATAATATCACCAGAACCAAAGTTTTGAATCGTTCTTCCATTGTTTTTTAGGAACAACCAAAATCAAGAATCTTGATAGTAACATCGATTCACTGAAAGTAAAGCTCACCAAAGAAGATTTGAAAGAAATCTCCAACGCGGTTCCGATAAATGAGGTGTCTGGCGATCTTTTGCCAGAGTTTAAGTCATATGCACTGGAAGTTTGCTAATACACCACCAAAAGGAAGCAAGGTTTCAACTTGAAATAGCCATGAATGCAAAGTCTGAAGCAGAATATACGAGGCTTTGGATGATTGGACTCTCCAACAACTGAAACCGTTGCTAGAAGTTCGTATCGACGAGTAGTAGTAAGCTTCGGATACATAAATAAAGGGATCGGTGAGAGCTGAAGCCTGCATTATCAAAATAAAAACAAGTAAGGGTTGTATTATTTTTGTGAGTGATTATCAAACAGGTTGTTTATCAGCCGAACACTGTTGTTTCTGCTACTAACAGCAGTATCATTGTAGCAGGTTGTTACTTGTTATCAGCTGCTTTAATTGAAGAAATAAAAGATTAATCATTAATCGAACTTATAATTTTTATCAAAGCATATGGTCAAAGAAGCATCAGTCGCCCAGGTATAGAATAGTACCATGGTGAACAATTACATAAAATTTTGTTTAAGCGTGATAAATCAGTTTTTTACACTACAATTATTTAATGGAATCAATTTAAATGGCATAATTTATTCATGATATAATCTTTAAACTTGTAATTCAATCAATTAATTTTCTTTTAATTTACATGAAAATTGAAATTAAACTTGGCAATTAAATTTAAAGGTTTATGGACAATATAAAAACGGATATTAACTATTTCAGAAAAAAAAGGATATTAACTACGCAATGTAAATTACTCTATTTTCTTTCATCTAAACCTGAGGGTTAGATCAACATTGATAACACGTATATAAAACAGGAGATATAGAATAGTACCCTGCCACGGTATAGACCCGGATTCGATTCCTGGCTGGTGCATTTGGGGGAGCTATGATGATAAGATGTTGTGGTGGTTTAGGGTCATCACGCTGTATGATCTTCAATGATCAAAATCGCACTATTCTGAACTCCTTTTTTGGGGTCTGGAGGATATCCATAAACCGCTGAAGAATGTCAAATGTATAGAATGCCATAACGAAGCCTTCGTTAATCGTTATGAAGGTTGTGTTCTTTTTATTATTGAAAAAAGAATGGATCACATGGAATTTCAGGGACGGGAGTTCTGTCCACTTTTGGAATTATTTATTAGTGAGCGATATTGCTCCTCTAAAGAATGCAATTTAAAGATGATATGTTATTGAGGATCATAGTGAGAGTGATATGATGAACTCTAATGGTGAATCTAAATCGGAGAAAGTCCAAACATTTGTTGCCCGGTTCAGTCCTATTGAAGCTCACTGCGATTAATCCTGTAGAAAATTCTGAAATTACAGACTCCCAAGGATGGTAATGGGCATCAAATAGAAATTTTTGAGTTAAACCAGGAGGATGGGATCCTCTCATGGGGATGATAATAGTATTCGGACTATAATTATTCAAATATCAGGGAATGTAAAGGATTAAAATCTTCATTTGGGTAGTTTGTTAGGGTCGAATTATATCTAATAGTGAATGGGTTTGATGTCAGGCTGCAAGATGTTGAGAGCATCGAGCATATCCTCAGGATAAATGAGTTCCTTAGTTGCAACATTTGCACATGGGTGAAAAATATATCTGAAGCATGTCCAACGAAGCACCAGTGGTCTAGTGGTATAATTGTACCCTGCCATGGTACATTGGCTTATCTGAAGGTAGCCCGCCTTTGCAGGTTTGTTTTGTGTATCTTGAATCATCAGAATTGAAAAAAAGAAAAGTTAAAACTTCAAATCAAAACTCTAACCCTACTACTCCTTTTTCATTTCCTAGGTTTGAGACTCAATAAACTCATGCTATCAACCATTACTCCTTTCACTGTTGCAAGCCAAGCCATGGTGAATGCCTATCTAAATTTGTTCATTTATGCAGGCAGCTTGGAATCGGGATTGTTCCATATAGCCCCTCCGCCACGGTTTATTTGGTTGAAAAGAAGTGGTAGAATGGAAACCTTGCCTGCAAATAGTTTTCTGGTATTGGACTGGCTTTTTTATGTCTTTAAGATCCTTAAACCTTTGCATAGCAAACTAATTGCCAACTTCTACTTTGAAGCCACATTTCCCAGCGTTTCAAGTAAAGAACTTGGATGAAAACAAGAGTTTATATTTGGAAAAAAATCTCCGACGCGGTTCCGATAAATGAGGTGTCCGGCGATCTTCTGCCACAGGGTTTAAATCAAATGCACTGGAAGTTTGGTAATGCACCACCAAAGGGATGCAAGGCTTCAACTTGAAATAGCCATGAATGCAAAGTTTGAAGCATATTATGAGGCTTTGGGTGATTGGACTCTCCAACAACTGAAACCATAGCTAGAAGTTCGTATCGACGAGTAGTAATAAGCTTCGGATACATTAATAAAGGGATCAGTGAAAGCAGGAGCCTGCATTACCTAAATAAAAACAAATAAGTACTGTCGTTTCTGCTACTAACAGCAGTATCATTGTAGCAGGCTGCTACTTGTTACCGGCTGCTAAAGTTCATTATAATTCTTGATCTCTTCTGTTGTCTCCTTTAAAATGGGTATAGAATAACGATCTAAAATAGCACTTTAATCGAACGTTTAACTTTTAATAAAACATATGGCCAAAGGAAGCACCGGTCGTTTAGTGATTGAATAGTACCCTGCCATGGGATAGACCTGGGTTTGATTCACGTCTGGTGCAAGGAGGCTAACCTGAAGTGCCTCGATGTGGACTATATCGATCTCGACTACCAGCATAGGGTTCGCATCAATACTCCTGTAGAGGATACTGTAACTGCTGCAATTCAAAGAATCATAAAATTATTTCTACACATGCATAATACCAAAGTCATATATTTCTTGTTTCATACTGTAACTGGTTGAACTTTCGCGGTTGATTGATCTGAATAACTGCTTTGCAGACGGAATGGTCGCCGTGGACTTGTGATATCGAGGAACAAATATTCCCCCTTTGTAGGTTTGTTTGTGTATCTTGAATCATCAGAATTGACAAAAGAAAAGCTAACTTCAAACCCGAACCCTAACCCTATTAGTCCTTTCTCATTTCTTTGGTTGAGACTCAATAAACTCATGCTTTCAACCATTACTCCCTTCACCGGTGCAAGCCAAACCGTTGTGAATGCCGATCTAAATGTGTTCATTTATGCAGGCAACTTGGAACTGGGATTGTTCCATATAGCCCCTCGGTCGGGGTTTCTGTGGTGGAAACCTTGCCGGAAAATAGTTTCTGGTATGGCAAACCAACTTATTTGTCTTCAACCTATCCTTGAACCTTTGCATACTAAATTGATTGCCAACTTCTACTTTGAAGCCACATTTCCCAAGGTTTCAAGCAGAGAACTTGGACAAAAACAAGAGCTTATAATTTAAATCGAGTAGTATAATTGGCCTGAATCTCTGTACGTACCGAACCAACCGAAAGTATCAAGAATCTTGACAGTAACATTGATTCACTGAAAATAATGAGGTTTGATTGATCGGACTCTTCTACGGTTGAAACCATTGAAAGACTAGGAGAAGTTCATAACTTGGTACGGGACATGGTAGTAGTAAGTTCTGGATACAATAGTGAAGGGTTGTATGATCATGTAATTTATTCTCTCCAATTTTAAATTGAGAGAATAGAAAAATTTTATAGAATCAAAATCTGGTTGTGGTTAGTATTTGCCTCTAAATATTGTTGGACTGTTGGAGAAGTTGACGGGCCTAGGCCTACTACCATGGAGCCCAGCCATGATTCATTTTCCGGGAAAGAAAACACAAGAACAGTAAAAGGGCAATTGGGAGAAAAAGCAAACAATATTCCTTTTCTTTCTTAATTTTCTTTAAGAGATTTTTAATTTGGAATTAACAAATTTTAGAATAATGATGAAACAAGATAAAAATCCAAAAAAAGAATACTGAAACTGATAATAAGAAAACAAGAAAAGAAAATGGTTGCTCGCAAGTTCCTGGTTCGCCACGACGACTCTACGTTTACCGTCGATTATGACACAGACGACGGTTTTGAAGTCTCTCTCTCTCTCTCTACATTTTTTTTAATTTTTTTCCATTTCCTTTCATCTCTCTCTCTCTCTCTACAACTGTTTTCTCTACTTTGATAATTTCAGGTGTTTCAGTTCCAGCTCTTCTCCCTCACTTCAATTCCTCCCGATGAGCAAAAGGTCAAAATTCGGATGGTTCTCTTTCTCTCTAATGAGGCTTGTTTTGAAAATTGGCTTTTCATGGTGCAGATCGTCGGGGAAGATAATGACCGTATCGTATCAGACGACTCCGATCTGGCCGCCGTTTCGGAGAAGCTGCAATTGCTGTCAATCTCCGACGAGGATGCGAGAAAGCCGGAGAAACCAGAAGAAACGACGAGTAGCACTGCCGGCGCTAGCGTTTTGTCCGATGAGGAATTGGCGCGAATGTTGCAGGTTTTAGTTCTGGATACTGAATTAATTAAAGGAATTTGGTTCTTAGCTATGAACTGGCTTAAAGTTTTGGGTTTTTTTTTTCTTTTGAAATTATTTAGTTTTGGTTTGATTTTGGTCAATTTCAGGCAGAGGAAGAAGCGCTTATGCTTCAGCAATATGTAGCTACTGACAATAGTAGGGAATTTGAACAGAAAGTTCGGCCCTATATTAGCCGAGTTCTCTTGGTAATATAATTTATTTCTTCTTTCTTTTGGTGCAAATTTGGTTTATTTATAAGGTTATTGGTTAATTTAGTTTATGAGAAAATGTAGAAATACTCTATTGATTTTACTGCTGGATACTCAGTTCGTTGACTTTCTCTTTGGAAGAGTTTTTGGATAATGGAGGAAACTGTAATATCTTTCATCAAAGCTATTTTGATTATGAGCTTTTATCTTCTTAACCTTGCAGGAGAAGTTGAATTTCTTAATGTTATACTTTAGCTGCTACGAAAAGAGGATAACTGACTTTACCGAATACTATGCTAATGAGAAGATGGGATATTTTCCTTATTGTTTATTTTGTCTATTGATATAGTATGAAGATCCTGCACGCCAGGAAGCAGCTCGGAAGACGGTTCCTGTGGATAATCTTGAGGAAAAAGCATTTGTTTCTTTGGCCAAGGTGAGGGCTGTCTGGACTTGCGTAATTTAGAAGATGTGTGATACTGTCCTAAAATTTATACTGATTTGCTGCAAAATATTAGATCAATGGTCCTATATTGATTTTCAATCAGGAAGTATTTGAGAGCCCTTCGCATTGCAGAATGGGGTTTTGTTTCTGTTAAAATAGGCATTGCGTTTCTCTATATACGAGTTCGATAATTATCATATTTTTAGATTTTATTTTGCAATGACATAATGAAAACTGGTGATTTTGCTAAATATGTTTTAGGAGGGGAACCTTAAACCATCAAAAATCGAACAAGATCATGCTTTCCTGCTCCAGCTACTTTTCTGGTTCAAAAGATCCTTCAGGTTATTTCTTCTGCTTTACAATTATAATTTTTCAACTCTCACAAACTCAACAGAACATTTACTTCCCATAAGCTTTTGTGTTGTTAATTTCAGTAACATCCTTTTCGCATTTTTATTGGGTGGAGTATATAAGATCAAGACTGCTCTTTAGCTTTGCATTTTTTCTCAGGGATTATTCAGTGCATATTTGGATTTCATGCAAAGCTGGCAGAATGATGCTTGTAATTCCAAATTGAAAGAAAGTGTGTTCTCTAATTCTATACATTACTGATTCTTCAATTCTGGGGTTGCAGTTGGGTTAATGCACCTCCATGTGATGGATGTGGCAATGAAACCACAGGTCAAGGAATGGGTGATGCACTCCATTCAGAAATTCAGTACGGAGCAACTAGAATTGAACTTTATCGGTCAGTGTGTGCAAAAAAGTTTTCTTACCATTTTGTATCTTGTTTAATTCTTAATGGTCAATTTGCAATCCCTTGTTTTTAATTCACGTTTCCATTAAGTCTTTCCTTGAAGCCTGATACATATAACTAAGTTGATGTAATTTATACCTACAAATATCATTTCGGGAAGATTTGAATTCTGCATCATGTTACAGTTTGTTCATAGCGCCTTCTGTACTATTGTTTTCCATTACACATAACTAATCATTTTTCTCAGTGGTTCTTTTGAGTTATTTTCCTAGCATCATGTCCTATCCTTCCATTATTTAGTGTTTTTTTTGGGTGGGGGGGTTAAATGGAGGTCTTGATCCATCACCTCGATGGAATTAAGGAGGTTGATAAGTCTTGGTTGAGCCCCATTCTCTCCATTGTTGCATTTACATCATAACTTGGTTTCTGATAATTGTCTGTTAGAAAGTAAAGTTAATTCTTAGGTGAAAAACTGCAGTTGCAATTCTTGTTCAAGAGTTACACGGTTCCTCGCTACAATGACCCACTGAAGGTATGAAGCTGTAATACTTCGTTCTACATTATCTTTTTTTCTTTTCCTTGTGTGTGGGGTTCAAGTATTAATTGTTGAATTTTCTCCATTTCTTTTTTCAGCTTGTAGAAACAAGAAAGGGGCGTTGTGGAGAGTGGGCCAATTGCTTCACATTGTACTGTCGTGCTTTTGGCTATGACTCTCGTCTGGTTAGTCATTTATATGCCAATTCAATTTCCAAATCCAACCGACTAAAACACAACTCTTTCTATCGTTAAAATGAAGATGGTTAAGCTAATTTATAATAAGAAAGAAATTTGTTCCGACTGCTGTACTTGCAATGAATATATGTGGTATATATGGACCTGGAATTGTTATTCTTTCGATCTGAAACTTTTGATGACAGGATATCTGTAATATCCAGTCCACTAAACAGAAGGATTTGGAAATTCAGTGAAGATAAACCTTTTATTTGAAGTTAGGACAATGTTTGACCTGGATTATTTTGATTATGTATTGTCTGCCAAACAAAGAACATATTCAAGATAGATTTAAAGAATTTTGAAATGGTTTGTTTGTTTATGTATAATATTTTGATGTCTTTGACATTGTAAATGAAACCCATTTTTAGCTTTATAAATGAGTGATTCACTGGTTCCTTTGCTGATAATTGTGTAAATTGAAGTTATTGATTCTGCAGTATATGAAATCAATATTTATGGTGGCATGGAATGTATCTAGAATTGTGTACGTTAAGTTTAACAGCAAATGCGTGCATAGTTGCATACATTTTTATTAGCTCTAGCTGTTTAAAGATGACATTCCATGGGACTTCGGATAATTTGCTTGCTTGAGATGATGTTTTATTTGCACCAACTCTTCATTTCCAGGTCCTTGATTTTACAGACCATGTTTGGACAGAGTGCTATTCAGAAGCCCTGGGAAGGTAAAAAAAAAAACCCAAATTGATGCCTTTTAATCTTCATTTGGGAAGGATCCCTATTATGTAGCAAAGAGGCTAAACTATGTGGTCATTTCACGAACTAATTATTCATTCATTTTTGTACAGGTGGATGCATCTTGATCCTTGTGAAGCAATCTATGACAGACCGCTACTATATGAAAAAGGGTACTCTAAGTTATGCTATTATCCATTTTTTCAAGAAAAAATCTTTATTTTGATACTACAGTTAGTAAATGCTTCCTTTCTACAGGTGGAAAAAGAAATTAAATTATGTAATTGCTATTGCAAAGATGGAGTTTATGATGTCACTAAACGTTACACACGGAATTGGAATGAGGTAATTATGATAAAAAAATTAGCACTTTATTGCCTCTAATGCTTATTTCATCTTATTCTTAGTATTGCTTATCTATGAATTGTTATGAAGAAACATGATTCGCTTCCCAAACTCATCTTTTTGTTCATTACCATTTTTACAGGTTTTGTCTCGACGAACCATTACCAGAGAGTCCTCTCTGGTGTCTGCTCTCACTTCAATGACCAAAGAATGCCGAAGAAACTTTACATCTCAAATTCTTTCAGTATTGGAAGACCGTGACAAAATTGAAAGGGAAGCTCTAGACAGAGATTTACTTTCTACTGATGATGCTCCGATCTCCTTACCTGGGAGGAAAAGTGGGGATAAGCAATGGCGCATTGCAAGATCAGAATTTGGGACTGACTCTCTGAGTTCATCTGCTTGTGAAGTTCGCATATGCAGAGACGAGCACGTCACAAAAATCTATAATGCCTTTTCTTCTATACTTCATAAGTTTGTTGAAGAATCTGTAATTGCTTCAAAAGGTGTTGAAGTTCTCAAGATTCTTAGAGCAACCGTTGTAGATCTCAAGAGATTACCGTATAAAAAAAGGAGAGCTTCTTTAAAGTCAAACTCAATTGTTGGCACATCTTTGTTGCATCGGTGGCTGCCCTCCTTTAAGGAATTTCTTAATGCTCTTTCACTGAAGAGTGAAGTGGATAGCAATGGCACTGTAACCGTATGCTTAGCCAGTGACCCTGTTCCAACTGCTTTAGCATTGCCTGTTGCCTTGCACGCTTTGGATGAACTGATCAGCGATCTTAGCAAATGTGAGAACTTTAGTAAAGGTTCACTAACCTTTCCGCTTCTAAGATTGAATAGAATATGTTCTGGAGCAGTCCTTTCGAGTGGCGAGGAGCTTCCTTTTGGATTGTAAGTAATAATGGCTATATCAAACATTTGAATATGAAGTGTCCACACGTGCTATAGAAATTATCCTAAAATTTCCGCTGAATTTTCAGGCCACAGCAGCATTTGATGGAACTCGCATGTCTAAATGGGAGGAACCTAATGGTGCTAAAGGTACTATGAATAACGAGCATAGTTTCTTGCAGTTATTATTTGTATATGACCTGAGGTTTTAATGCTTAATGCTATGCAATACTAGCATGTTCTCAGGCAGGCTAATCTGCAGATTTGTTTTCATTAAATATCATCTCCTAGTATTTGAACTTCGTCTTGTAGGTTGTTGGATTATGTACAAATTATCAGGCAACATGCAGGAACTTGTGTCCTATGAGTTAATGTCTGCCAATGATGCCCCAGAACGAGATCCAATGGATTGGTATGATCTGCTTAGGTCTCTAAGCATTCTCTTTAATTTTAAGTACCACATTCCATTTATAATGATCCTCCACGCCTATGTCGGTTCACGAGTTAAGATCAAGTTTTTAAGGATTTTATTACTAAAGATCATTACCGTCATTATAATCGGTTGCAATAAACGAAACTTTCCAAAAGTGATGAAATGACCTCTACTTTCATCTATGTTTTCTTCTTCTACGACTTTCTACGGAAAATGAGATTTAAGTCTAGTGAGAGATCATTGTTTTGAAGTTCTGTTTTTCCCCCCTGAACTGTAGTTTTACCTTTAATAGGTAAAAATATTTATGTAGATCATGTGGATCTTTGATCCTATTAACATTTTAGTCATTATCTTAACAGGGTGGTGGAAGGAAGTAATGACGGAGGATCAAACTGGCGTGTTCTGGATGAACGAAGATCACAGATGTTCGATAAACGTTTTCAGCGGAAAACATATAATGTCAAATCGACAGGTTTCTTATCAAATATATTCAGGTGAACTAATTTTTTTGATCTTATTAGGCTGTTTTGATGCAATTTTTAAGTTCGACGCTCTTGAACCGATCCTATTATTAGCGATATCATGGATGGCAGATTGCGGTTCTTGGCGGTCAGAGACTCGGAAACAAACCCACGGCTGCAAGTGGGTAGCGTTGACCTGTATGCAAGGCAAAGCTGATGGTATTGAGACGTAACTGGAGCCAAACAGTTTAGAACTTGCATTCCTGGCTTTCCTGCTGTAATCAAGTATCTGGCTTCAGTGGAGTATTTGTTTGGTGTTTAAATTTATTTGTCTAATTAGATATTTGAATTTGACTTTGATGATTACCTTTTTCTGGAGGTAAAGGCCTTGTTAAAACCCCCTTTCGTAACTATTAAGCTTAATACTTTTAATAACAGTACAAAACTATCCATGACAACAACACACATAAAAGTAAAGGTACTGTAGACAAGCCACAAACAACGCCATTGAATCTCACGAAGTGAACTTGATGTTTAATATAAAAATAAGTGTTTAAATTATATATCGAAAAAATATTTTAGTATTTAAAGAATTTTTCACTAAAAATAACTGTTTAAAGTTTTTTTGTTATATTTTTAGGTGTTTATCTTTAAAAAACAGTTAAGTGATATATGTCACATTTAGATTATTTTAAAAATATTTTTTAAATAATATTTTATTTTTAAAAAAATTAGACTTAACACTTGTCACTTAATGATTTTTTTTAACTGTAAACACTTAAAAGTATAACGGAGAAAACTTTAGATATTTATTTTTAAAGAAAAATCCTTAGGCACTTAAAATTAATTTTGAATATAGTTTATACACTTATTTTTATATTAAGCCCTGATTTGTTTTGGTAAATCACATGTTTAATACTTGAATTATTATTTTTATTTTATTTTAGTATCTAAATTTTATATTTTTTCAAAATCATACTTAAATACATAAACATGATATTTTTTCAATGATTGCATGACATTACTTTGTAATGGCACATCAACATCGCGGTTAAATTTTAATAGTGAGTTACTAAAATGAAACCTAAGCTAAACATTAGGTGTTATTTTGAAAATAAATAAAGTTTAGGTATCAAAGTGAAACAAAAATAATAATTTAGGGTAAATTATAAATTTAGTACTTAAACTATCAATTTTAATCTGTTTTAGTACCTAATTTTTTACTTTTTTTCAAAATCATACCCAACTTTTAGTTTTGTTTCATTTCAATACCCTATTCAAAATTTAACGTTAAGTTTTGAAAAAAAATTGGATATGATTTTGAAAAAAAATAAAAAATTAGATATTAAAACGGATCAAAACTTATAGTTTAGATACTAAAAGCATAGTTTACCCTAATTTTATACTTATTTTTCCAAATTAAAACTTGAAGTCAATTTCAAGTAGCTAAACTAAAACATCAAGTGACAAAAAAAATTTATCTTGGGTATTTAATTGGATAAAAAAATTATATACTAAAATTTGGTTCAAGTACCAAAATGAATATTTACCCTTCAAAAAACATGAATATAAATCTCTATGATAGAACAATATGAATCAAACTAAAATTTTAAAGGGTTCTAGTTATCAATCATAGAAGTTCATATCCACTTTAAAACATGTACAATTCCAAAAGTGTTGATGCTGTCACATAATTAGTATTTTCACAGTTCAGGTGCTCTTTTTCCAAAGTAGTTTAGTGATGAAAACTAAAACAAGAAAATGAGAACAAATGTTAATAGAGTCCCAAAGCCAATAAGGGTTCATCCATGCTCTTAATTTCCCTACCAGGGTCAATGTTCCTCGATCTTCTTCAACCCCTTCATGTCTGTCGCTTCCACCCTGCATTACCAACAAAATTTCAACATATTTCACACTCAATATGTATATGCACATATATGTCAGTGTTGTATATAATGCAAGTCGGACCTCGTTACTGCTACAACAACGAGAGCAAATGCAAATGAGATATACCGCATGCCAAATATTATTTTGTGCAACGACAATAAATTTATGTCGTTAACCAGCAGTGATAAATCGGGGAACAGAGAGGGATTGAAATCACACGACGGAGGATATTCCTTTAGGACTTGCATCTTAGCTTCGAGATGATTAGAAACTCGTAGTTACATCAGATAAAAAAAAAACCAAAGCTAGTTGCTAAAAAGAAAGGGAGGATATGCTGTAAATGATGCTACATCTGCTTCCCTTTGCTTTCCTAGTTTCTAGCTAATGCAGACAAGCTCTTGGTTCAAATGGTTTCGGAAATCGAAAGCTCGGGTGTGAGAGGGACAACTCACACGAAAGAATTACTCTTATTCCTTGAACAGAAGAAAGACAATGTGACTAAAGCATAAGCCCATGCCTTGAACAATATGTTGATACTAAGAAGGAACTAGTAAACTAGAATTTATAGAAGTTCAGCAACATTAAAGATGAAATGACATCAAATAATGCAGAGAACCACGACTGTAATTATTAAGAACTTACGTTGATCCATACAAGATCTTCTGAACTTTAGTGATTTCAGAACCCAACTGATTGTCCTCGATAAATATTGTCAAGCTGATTAACATAATAAAGTAAAATTAACATTATTTTACTTAATGAATTGAAGATAAAGACTAAACACGGTACTTAGTGTGTAAACTATAAACATACCTATGGACATTCTGTAACTTCACATACTTCACAACTATCGGTTTGCCCTGCAAAAAAGAGAGAGAGAATGTTATAAGATTTATCGATTCAAGACGATTTCTTAAAATACCCTTACTACATTGTAGCTCCTGACAATGGAAAGATAGCCAGAAAAAGAGCTACCACAAGATTATCTGGCAATAAATCGACAGTGTCACTTGGAGGGAAGTCATTGATATTACTGCATTAAATACAGTGAAATATCATCAATGAAATGTTTTTAAGCTTAATAAACCGATTCCAAGAATGTGATAATTCCTTGAAATTACCTAAACCCCATATGCTCCCTGTTTGTAAGAAGTTTCACCGTCTTAGGTCCTGCAAATGACAATCTTCAAGGTAACCAAGGATTTTTAGATTAAAGGCAAACGGGAACGTTAATAAATTTCTCCTGTAACAATCTTGTATCATCCCAGCTTTCTCAATAACAAGTTTTCTTTTGGCATCATTCCGCCATCCGGAATGGATACCTCTAATGTCGACAAAGACGATAAGTTATTCAACTCATCAAGTCGAGCATTACCTCTAACATTCCATCCACGAAAGCTATTGCCAACAAGTAACTCTTCTAAACTACACAGTTTTGCTATGACATTTTCTGGGATGACTTTGAGTTTAGAACATTCACTCAAATCTAATAACTTTAGTTGGGTCAATTGTGCAATCTCTATTGGCAGTTTCGTAATGATGGAACCCTGAAAGCTGAGGATCTGTAATGCCTTCAGCTTCTCTATGATGGCTATATCACACAAGTCACATTCACATAAACGCAGAGTACGAAGGTCTGTTAATGAACCAAAGGATGAAGGCAAAGAATATCGAAAATTCATATCAGTTGCGCTTAACACCTTCAGCTTAGTCATGCCTTTGAGAAAAGTGCCAGAGACTTGGTAAGACTGCAACATGAGTAACTCGAAATTTGAACAGTCCACATCAAAAAGCTCAGCGATGTTGCTGTCTGGCAACGAGATAGCAGTGCAACCATTGAGATTCCCCTTCTTCAACAATTCCTTCAGATGATTTCCATCCTTTACGACCCGCATTCCCTTGTTTTTTGATGCAATTGAAATGGAAACATCGCGTATAAGATCATGTATTTTCACCCATTTGTAATCTTTTCCCTGGAGTAGTAAGCTAGACTCTTTGAGCTTATGAACTAGTGCATCTATCCTTTTTCATGCTTCTTCCAGCGTGTAGATGCCTTCCAAATGATCTAGACCAAAGCTATATTGCAGCAAATCACAGACAGAGATATCAAAACTCTGAGGATGTAGGTCGGATATCAGGAACAAAGCTTGCTCTTCCTCATTTCTCAGCCATTTGTAACTCAACTCAATTGTAGAGTATACATTGTCTTGCATCCCCTCTATGTTTGATGGATTTGACCGTTGTAGCTGTAGATGTTTAATTTGTCTGGGGCCTTTACCATTTTCAAATGAAAGCAGTTCTGGAGAGTTAAAACCAGAAATAAACGTGAGAAGGCAGTTAACAAAAAGTGAGAGCCATTATTGGTAGTTAAGGAGCACGATACTGGGGTAAGGAAAAACTGTAAAGGGTTCAGTTTTTGGGAATTAACCACCAGAGGAATAAATCAAAGGATTACACACAGAAAAAAGGGGATCAAAAAAAGGGAAAAGGATCAAAAAAAAAAAAAGAAAACAGAGCAGAGAAATTACACAGACAAATAGAGTTAGAGAGCATTAGGAGGGGAGGGTAGACCATCTTTTTACTATACGATAGAACAAAAAAAGGAAAACAGGGAAAACAATATTTCTTTATTACAAGGCCAAGCATTGTAACAGAGGGGAGGAATCGTCGTTTTTCAGGAAAGCAATAACAAGCAAAGAGCCATTCTTTTGGTATATTTTCTCTTTATTTCAATTTCTAGTAATTTGTATGAGTGTTTTTATTTCTAAACAAAAAAAAAGAAACAAAATAAGGATAAGGAAAATAGAAATAGACGGTAAGATTTACCTCTGGTCCTGTTTTGATTGATTGTCAAGGTCGGTTTTGCTGCGTCAAGGTTGGGTTTCTGTCCCGTTTGGTTCATTTTTCTTTGATGTTTAGGGTCCGAAGCTCTCGAGTTCATGGTCTGAGACGGGTTTAACACTGAGTCATGTTAGTTTCATACGTTTTGAAATTTTGTTTAGACTAGAAGCAAAATCAGAAGAAAAGTTAAAAGAAAGGTTCAACTTAGCTTATCTCGCCGGTTCTGGTCCTCGTCGGAGTCCATAGGTGGTGTTGGTCGTTCGTTTTGGTTGAGGGCTAGAGAGGTCTAGGCTCATTAGGTCGGTTCGGGTGCTTCATCGTCGGTGACTATCACGGTGGTTCAAGGAGATGAGTGGTCGAGAGATGGCTGTGTGGGTTTGTGAGTTAGAGGTGAGAACTGCGCAGGGAGAGGGAGAAGAAGGGAGCATTGCGGCGTTGTAGGGGTTGAGCTTAACAGAAAGAAGGCTTAATTTGTAGGTTAAATCTTAGGTTTTAATTAACAGGGATAAAGCGACGTCGTTTAGGTGTTTAGAGTACTCATTTCATGTGTGGGTTATCCACAAAGTGAGCCATTCCACTTTCAAGGTCATGCATTTTGGTCCTGAATTCGAATCTTTTATGTTTTAATTATGTCTTTTTATTTCATGAACATTTGAATTTAGTCCTGGACACTAGTA